ATATTAAAAAAATTCAGTAAAAACAAAAAAAAACGAAAAATAAGAAAGTAAAATTTTCTGAAAAGTGTTTTTGAAAAAATGGAACCAAGTAAGCTGAATAATTTCCAACGCTTCATGTTTTTAAATTTTTATCAAATTATAATTCGAAAAAAAATATTAAGAGCTGAAGATTCTCTTAATTGAAATTATAGTGAAATAACATATTGAAATAGTGAAAGTCTAAATATGTGGTTGGTTAAAATGTATAATTTGATTAATTTTTTTCTCATATTTGTATAAAAATTGACACTTATGACTACATCATTATAAGTTGGATTATAGAAAGTTTTTTGAGATGTCAAACATTTTTTATTTGCAAATATCCTACCTATTAAAAAATAAATAAATAAAAGAAAAAGAAAAAAAAATGTGTAACTTTTGAATATGTGTTTATCAATTTTGTTTTGTGGACATAAACAACTGATGTTTCAATTTAAAAAAAAAAAGTATAAAAAAAAAAATATAGATTGGGTTTTTTTGGGAAAAAGGGGATTTGGGGTGCCTGTTGTGCACCTAGCACAGCAGGCACTGCTTTGCAGCCTTATGGGCTTATTTTTGGGTCCGTTTTAATAATCTGAACCGTTCACATTTTAAAGTATATCGAGTAGAACGTACATGTTAAAAATTAAGTTAATCGGATATCGTTAACTCTTTCATCCCCTCACATTTGTATTCATTTTAATACTTTAAATTACAATGTCATTTATTTTTGAAGATACAAATGTGAGTAGATGAAAGGGTTAACGATATCCGATTAACATAATTATTTACATGTATGTTCTACTTGATGTACTCTAAAATGTGAACGGTTCGGATTATCAAAGCTGATCCCAAAATAAACTCATAAGGCCACACAATAGTACCTGTTGTTCTGGGTGCACAGCAAGCACCCCAATTCCGGATAAAAGAGGCCATCTAACTCCTCTATATACTATTTTAAGATAGACTATTTTAATTACATAAAAAAAATAGAAATTATATTTGGAAATTATTTCTACATATTATGCTATTGGATTCGTTTGGGATGTGGGTTGGCTTTTTAGCTATTTTAGCATTTGGCTAAAAAGTCATGTTTGAGATAGACTTTTTTGACTTTGTTTGAAAAAAAATAAAATAATTATGATTTGGATATGATGTTTTGTCTTATTGGACTAAAAATTCTATTTTGTCTCTTTGTAGCTAAAATAGCTAAAAAGTCTAGCATGTCAAACGAAGACATTATATATACATATAGCGGTAACAAATTAATTAATATATATGAAAAGTTATACTGAGCTTTCATTTTCAATTAATTGAATTATGATTAACAAACTAACAAATAGCAGTAATGGTGCAATAGAATAGAAAGAGGATAAAAATAAAAATAAAAAAACATAATGATATTTAAAAGTTTTAAATTTACCTAGTTATACAAAAATCTAATGTTAAGTACAATCTTGAATTCCCAATTAATTTTCACATTTCTATAAAATAAAATGACAATAAAAAATAAAAAATTCGATACTCATTTTTTAACTTCAATTTTGCAATTTTTATAAAAAAACAAAATTTGACCAAAATCCTTGACACAGAACGGGCATAGATACTTCAATTACAACCATCATCACCAATAATTCTTCTCCACCATGTAAACCCGTAAACAAACACATAATTTCACTAAAACTGAAACCAAAACCAAAGCAACAACAGAGAAAGAGAATCACACGGGGAAAAAAATAAAATTAAAAAATAAATAAATTTATGGAGTGGTCAGATATTATCCCCCAACAATTTAGACCTTGCCCTGCCTAATCCATCAGCTCCTTCGCTAGTACCTGCGAAGTCTAGGAATTGGGATGACTGATCAGATTATTCTTTAAATAAGACTTGAAAATTAGTTAATTTATCCTATTAAATGATTTAAAATTTTGATAGATATACATCAAAAAAATAAACAATTATATTATTAAATCATAATTCAAATTTAGATATTCTCATATCTTTTTGAGATCTAAATCTAAATTCCTATCTTCTTTATTTTTGTGTGGTTTCTATTTTTTTTAAAATTTATTTAAGATGGAGTTGTGGGTTTCTATTTTTTTAAAATTTAATTTATCTGTAGTTTCCATTTGTTTTTAATTATTATTATTTAGATAAGTTATAATATGAGTTAGATATGTGATAAACGTGTGAATTTTATTGATTTAAAATATGATAGTTTGAGATATTTTCAAATTAGATTTGTTTAGATAAACTTTAAAGATTTTTAAAATTTAAAATTAGATATTGAGAGGCAAAAAAAATATTTTAACTGAATAAATAAAAATCATATTTAATAATTTTATTTGTTTGTATATCTAAATTTATTTATTTATTTTTGGTTATGTTATGACATGGACAGGCCCATGAGGCATACAGCCCACGGCAAACCACCCCGAACCCATCGCTTTGGACCCATAGCATAACTTGGTTGGCAAAGCCCAGGACAGCTGGAGGCCACCTGGACGTGGAGGGCCAAGGGCATTCGGACACATGACAGATGAGACATAGGCCACATCAGCAGACAAAGATCTGCAGAGTTATTGCCACAACACATCACCATTAATGCAGCCCATCACAGCATTTATTACGACAACACCTCCCCGTCGGAACAGAGCCCCCTCACCCTGAACAAGGTAAGCTACGGCACAGGCTTTCGGCGGAAAGGGGGCACGTCACAAGGGACAGTGAAATGATTACCAAAGGATATAAGTAACAAGAGAAGCACAAGAAAAAGGTTAAGCTTTTTATCTCTCCATCTTCTTCCCTACATTGTCCTGTTTTTCTCTACTAATTCTCTCTCCGGAGGGTTCACTGGGGGACTGCCCCGTTCCCCTTTGGACTTGCTTGCAGGTCATTTGACGAAATCACCACCCGAAGCCGGAACCTGAAGAACCTGGGCCAGCTTGACCCATCCACCTGGGACGGACTGGATCATCAGTTGGCGCCGTCTGTGGGAACCTGGTGGTTTATTCGCGCGCTAGTTGTGTTCGCTATCGCCGGAGCCCTCATTTCTCACTATCATCTTTTTCCTCTCACCCGTCCAGGTATATGGTCACGACTAGGTCCATGGCCTCCCACCATAATGCCACCGATCATCAAACAGACCCTTCCCATCCAAACAACCCACCACAGTATATCATCGAGCTTACCAACAGTATTAACCGCATGGCCGAGCAAAACCAGGCCCTGATCAATGCTCTGCTCCAAAGAAACCTCCCTGCTCCACCCCCAGACATTCCACCCAACCAAGAAAGAACCCCGAACCACACGGCTCCACCACCCCTTCCCCCCAACCCAGAAGGTCTACGACCCCCTCCTCCTCCACATATGAGCCTACCACCTCCATCTCCATGTCCGCCAGTCGTGCCACTACCCCCTGAGGGGGAAGCCAGCAGTGTCCAGCCCCCATTTACCGACCATGGAGACAACATTCCCCTCTGGGACGCGGAACTCTGAGCTATGAAACTCCAACTACAAGGGGTCATCCAGAACATCCAACACAAGCCCTCAACCACCGCCCACTCGCCTTTTGTTGCCTCCATCCGCGACAAACCGTTGCCCGCCAAGTTCAAAATGCCTACCATTGACTCATTCGATGGCACAACAGACCCCGTCGACCATCTGGAAACCTACCGCACCCTCATGATCCTCCATGCTTTTCCTGACGAGATCATGTGTCGAGCCTTTCCAGTGACACTAAAGGGATCAGCTCGATTGTGGTTTAGCCAGTTACCGGCAGACTCCGTCTCCACCTTCCAACACCTCAGTGACTCTTTCTTGAGCCACTTCATCGGGGCCCAGCGTCAGAGACGCCCAGCCACCCAACCCCTCAACATTCGTCAGACCGAGGGGGAGTCGCTCCGCAGCTTCGTCACCCGCTTCAACACCGAGGCCCTTCAAGTAGCGGAGAATGACGACAAGGTCATCCTCACCGCCTTCATGGCCGGCCTGCGGTCGTCGGATTTCCTTTTCTCCCTCTCCAAAAACCCTCCAACCACCATGGCAGCCCTCCTATCCAAAGCCCAGAAGTACATGAATGTTGAAGATTCTCTGGCCGCTCGACAAGAACCCACCCCTAAAAACCCAACCCCTAGAGACAAGAGGAAAGACTCCGAACCAAGAACTGCCCAGTATAATAACCAAACACCCCACTATAATGACCGACCCCCCCGTGCCGACCGGACGACTCCGACCAAACCGCTCGGTCGGTTTGAGCGATACACACCTCTTAACTCCCCTATGGAGCACGTCCTCAATCAGATCCAACGGGACTACCCCCTCAAGTGGCCCCTACCTTCACGAAACCCTTCCCCTCGAAAAGATCAGTCCAAATACTGCCGCTTCCACCAAGACCATGGTCATACCACCGACGAGTGTATTAACCTCAAAGATCAGATTGAGACCTTCATACGCCAGGGCCGCCTCAGCCGATTCACAGATAACCGCCCTCCACAGAGACAAAGAACCGACCTCACCAGGAGCAATCACCGACAAACACCACCCCGCAACCAAGGCCCACCTAACCAAGGCCACGATCGCCCACCACCACAGCCTCGGCCTCCTGGTAATCCCCCTCCACCAGTCGGAGAAATCCGAGTTATCTCAGGCGGCCTTGCTTGCGGGGGACCATCCCGCTCGGCTCAGAAAGCAGAACTCAGAAAAATCAGGCAGGGCTCAGACAAAGCAGTGGCGACGGTGGACCGACCTCCCAAACAGTCTACTCCAACCACTCATCCGCCTTCAGTGGCTCCTTCGGATCCCCCAAAAACTCATCTGGATTAGATCGAAAGAACTCTCTCTTCAAAAAGGATGGCCCTGTCTCAGCAACCTGTGCCTGGACCTGGTTTTCAACTCTAAGAATGTCCATAGATTCTCGCAAAACCCTGGCCATTTCACGAGCAAAAGCACTCATGGCCTGCTGGCCAACTAGTTATGCTACATTAGCCTACTGATTCTGCCACATTGGCTTGACCAACCCCTTCTTCCTGCACCAAAATTTCATTTGGTAATGGCACCTCATGCCATCTAGGCTTGCCACGCCTACCACGACCACGTCCTCGTCCTGACATCCTAATGAAGGTAACACCAGAGATTAACATATTTACAAATGTGTCGAAGCTAACTCACTCACGTCCTAATGCGATGAACAACATTTAATTCATTCCACATAAGATATAAGCACATAAACACATACGAACTTTCTTTCTAGAAAATGATCGTCCTGCGGCGTTACCAGAGTTCTAATTAGAAACAGCAGTGATCAAGTGCTCTTCTAATAAGACTTCTAGAAGCCCGTAGACTCAATCAATATCTTAAAAATTAAACTTCATACCCATATAGTCACATAAACATGTTATCACATAGGCATACTATACACACAAATATCTCCATCAAGCGAGAGAAACCTATTGTGGTAAATACCACTTCCTACGTACCCAAAATATTCAAACCCAGTACGCTTTGATACCAAGTTGTAATGTCTCGAAATAAATACAGCAACCCATCCACAATATTAATTAAAAGAAGACATAAGATAAGATAAGCAACTTCCATTAATTCCAATTTCTTATACAAAAGATGAGTACATGCAAATATGCATTCATAAGTCTAACTCTGAATCTATAGCATGTGTTACTTGGTATGGAAACAAAATGAAAGATACAAGAAATAAGAGAATTCCCTAAAGGCTTACAACTTTCCAAGTTAGTACTTGGTTACAACAAAATAGATGTAAATCCCAATACATATAAAAACCCTTGGCTTGTACAAAATAATTTCACAATTAGACAAAATGAACCTCGTGCTTCATGTCCTCTCAAGCTATTGCCTTGGCAAAGGCACACCATCTGCACCTAAAATGTTTTGTCTATATAGGGTGTGCCAAAGCCCCGTAGAAATAATCTAACACAGCATATGAATCATAACAAAGCTATAAGGGTAAAATACACATGCAATGCTCATGACAAAACATTTTATATCTCTTTCAAATCATGCCATGCCAAGTTTATATTACCATTCGTGAAACACTTTCCTTTTTATGGAAAACCAGTATGTGAATACATCTCTATGAATCTCTAGGTATGTGTCTGCTAGTAGGTTATACACGCACTATTCTTTTGTCATTTTTACCGGTATTAACCAGTAGGCTCGACACCTATCTGCGCGGGTTTCTGATCTTTCACCAATGACACACATGCCAACTTATCATAGTAACCACACCCCTTACCCAGATTCACCAAGTATTCACCATTTTCTCAAAACAATGTAATTATTACAAATGTGTAAATGTATGACAATGCTCAATGCAATGAATGAGGAATACTTTTCATTCTCCTAGTCCTCATGAAATATCTACAATAATCATGGTTATCCTCCACTGATAACCTAAAACAGGTATCTCTAAACAAATAAAATAATTTCCGTAAAGATAAACTTTTCAAATTTCGAGGTGCTAGTGATAATACATACTCAACTCCACCATCTTAATCAATAACAATTAAATTCCATTCTTCCAACATCTATATCATTATTTATAAAAAAATCAACATTTAGGGCAAAACCCCTCTTCCAAAATCACTTCCAAATTTCAAAACCAACCATGTTGTCATCTCTACACCTCATTCCCAACCCCACAATCATTCCCATGAAACCATTTGAAAACCGCACTTTTTAGTTTTGAACCCAAAATCCAAGATTTGTTCAAAAGTCCATTTCGTTTGCAAGGTGGTTTTATAAAATAAAATAAAAAAACGAATAACTAAGTTAAAACTCATAAAGAGGTGCGAAGAATCCCTACCTCAAGCTTAGAAGGGTGAAAGAGAAAAACTTGAAAAAACTCAACGTCAACGAAATCACAAACCACTCAGATCAAAGGAAAGCTCTTGATGCAATCTACACTTTATCTCAAAGGATCAAGAGGAGAAGACACCTCTGGGTGAGTAGATTTAAGGATTTAAGTGGGAAAAAGTGAAGAGAGAGAGAGAGAGAGAGAGAGAGAGAGAGAGAGAGAGTTAAAGGTGAGAGAAGGAAAAAGAAAAACAACTTATGACAAAAAAAGACCTTGGGTTTATATATAGTGACTAGGTATTAGCGGAATAGTAGTTCTAAAGTCAAATGAAAGAATAAGCCAAAAATTTCTAAAAAGTAGGGCCCAAGCCGATCAAAATTTGGAAAAAAGTCACAGGGTTGACCCATGCGACAGTGGTGTCGACCCTCAAGAAGAAAAGCTAAGACACTTGTTTTAGGCAGCAGGTAATGTGTCGACCCTTGGACCCAAGGTGTCGATACTAAATTTCAACATGTAAACTCCATATGTTGTAATAGACAAAGGTCGACACCTCCCTAACTGGTGTCGACCCCAAAGGCCAACTAGAAAAGGCAGATGTCGACACCACGAAGAGCTGGTGTCGACACTAAATTTCAGTAGCGATCTAGGAACGCAGTAACTAGATGGTGTCAACAACGCCAAGGCTGGTGTCGACCCTAGGAGCAAAAGAAGGTAAGGAATAGAAGGCAGTGTCGATACCAATAAGGAATATGTCAACCCCTGAAGTCAAAACCAAATATGAAGAAAAAGGAATGACCATCACGAATATGGTTTCCCAGATTCAAAAGTAATAAATGGTTCGAGTCTAAATCAGGATCGCTATATTGGAGCTCCCACAAGACTTGTGGGTTAGAAACCCCATTTTCCTTATGTAATATACTAGTGATAACGCGTGCTATACACGAGACTTTATAAAAATAAAAAAAAAATTAAAATCATTATAAATTTGTTAAAGTAATTTAATATTTTGTCTTGTTATATACATGAAATTTATAAGTTAATTTTTATGTTTATAACATTTTAAATTATTAGTTTAAAAAATTAAAAATATAAATATAAATCTATTTAGTTCAATTTTGATAATTTGTAATTAAAAAAAAGTTAAACCTAATTAAATAAGATTACATGAGTTATGATATACCTCTTCTTGCGATGAAAATATACAAATTTAAAAATTATAATTAAGACAAATATACAATTTTATTATTAAATGTGAAGTGAAATAATATTTAACAATAATTGATATGATATTTCTATTATTAATCAAATAATTTAAGTTACATTTCTTTTGGTTTTAATTTCATAACTAAAAATACAATATAAATATAATACGCACACGGATTGCTAGTCTTTAAGAATAAGAAGGTTTTAGAATATTTCCAACCTTTCATCATTTTTTTTAATTTTTTTTTATCTAATTTGATTTTAAATTTGAATAAAAAATTTGATTTGAGATGAATTATTTTAAATTTTTCATTAAATTTTTATCAATTTAAAAAAAAAATTCATTCTTATCCCATTTTTTTTCTTCTCATCAATTTTGATGGAAAAAAACAATCAGGGTGTTTGATTTTTTAGGATTAAGTATTTTAAAAACTCAGTATTTTGATTTTCGTATTTTTTTATTTTTAGTGAATATTTTTAAAATTTTAAATATTTTTTTTACGTTTTTAGATGCACCTTATTTACATGTATCTAAAAAGTAAAAAAATATTGTGAAAAAATATTTTAAAAAATTAATAAATACATAAAAATACAAAAAATGTACTGAATTCTTGTATTTTTTTGTATTTTTGGTATTTGGTGAATTTTTAAAAGATTTTTTTAACAATTTTTTTTTACTTTTTAGGTGTATTTATGTTAGGTGTTCTAAAAAGTAAAAAAAAAAATTGCTTAAAATATTTAAAAAATTCAGTAAAAACAAAAAAAAACGAAAAATAAGAAAGTAGAATTTTCTGAAAAGTGTTTTTGGAAAAATGGAACCAAGCAAGCTGAATAATTTCCAACGCTTCATCTTTTTAAATTTTTATCAAATTATAATTCGAAAAAAAAAATATTAAGAGTTGAAGAGTCTCTTAATTGAAATTATAGTGAAATAACATCTTGAAATAGTGAAAGTCTAAATATGTGGTTGGTTAAAATGTATAATTTGATTAATTCTTTTCTCATATTTGTATAAAAATTGACACTTATGACTACATCCTTATAAGTTGGATTATAGAAAGTTTTTTGAGATGTCAAACATTTTTCATTTTTAAATATCCTACCTATTAAAAAATAAATAAATAAAAGAAAAAGAAAAAAAATGCGTAACTTTTGAATATGTGTTTATCAATTTTGTTTTGTGGACATAAACAACTGATGTTTCAATTTAAAAAAAAAAGTATAAAAAAAAATAGATTGGGTTTTTTGGGAAAAAAGGGATTTGGGGTGCTTGATATGCACCTAGCACAGCAGGCACTGCTTTGCAGCCTTATGGGCTTATTTTTTAGTCTGTTTTAATAATTCGAACCGTTCACATTTTAGAGTATATCGAGTAGAACGTGCCTCTTAAAAATTAAGTTAATCAGATATCGTTAACCCTTTCATTCCCTTACATTTGTATTCTTTTTAATACTTTAAATCACAATGTCATTTTTTTTTTAAGATACAAATGTGAGTAGATGAAAGGGTTAACGATATCCGATTAACTTAATTTTTTATATGTATGTTCTACTTGATTTACTCTAAAATGTGAACGGTTCGGATTATCAAAGCAGATCTCAAAATAAACCTATAAGGTCGCACAATAGTACCTGTTGTGCTGGGTGCACAGCAGGCACCCCAATTCCGGATAAAAGAAGCCATCTAACTCCTCTATATACTATTTTAAGATAGACTATTTTAATTACATAAAAAAAATATAAATTATATTTGGAAATTATTCCTATATATTATGCTATTGGATTCGTTTGGGACGTGGGTTGGCTTTTTAGCTATTTTAGCATTGAGCTAAAAAGTCATGTTTGGGATAGACTTTTTGGCTTTTTTGACTTCGTTTGAAAAAAAATAAAATGATTATGGTTTGGATATGATGTTTTGTCTTATTGGACTAAAAATTTTATTTTGTCTCTTTGTAGCTAAAATAGCTAAAAAGTCTAGCATGTCAAACGAAGACATTATATATACATATAGCGGTAACAAATTAATTAATATATATGAAAAGTTATACTGAGCTTTCATTTTCAATTAATTGAATTATGATTAACAAACTAACAAATAGCAGTAATGGTGCAATAGAATAGAAAGAGGATAAAAATAAAAAAAACACAATGATATTTAAAAGTTTTAAATTTACCTAGTTATACAAAAATCTAATGTTATAGTACAATCTTGAATTCCCAATAAATTTTCACATTTTCTATAAAATAAAATGACAATAAAAAATAAAAAATTCGATACTCATTTTTTAACTTCAATTTTATGGTTTTTATAAAAAAAATAAAATTCGATCAAAATCCTTGAAACAGAACGGGCATAGATACTTCAATTACAACCATCATCACCAATAATTCTTCTCCACCATGTAAACCCGTAAACAAACACATAATTTCACTAAAACTGAAACCAAAACCAAACCAACAACAGAGAAAGAGAATCACACGGGGAAAAAAATTAAATTAAAAAATAAATAAATTTATGGAGTGGTTAGATATTATCTCCCAACAATTTAGACCTTGCCCTGCCTAATCCATCAGCTCCTTCTCCAGTACCTGCGAAGTCTAGGAGTTGGGATGACTGATCAGATTATTCTTTAAATAAGACTTGAAATTGGTTAATTTGTCCTATTAAATGATTTAAAATTTTGATAGATATACATCAAAAAAATAAATAATTATATTATTAAATCATAATTCAAATTTAGATATTCTCATATCTTTTTGAGATCTAAATCTAAATTCCTGTCTTCTTTATTTTTGTGTGGCTTTCATTTTTTTTTAAATTTATTTAAGATGGAGTTGTGGGTTTCTATTTTTTTTTTAAATTTAATTTATCTGTAGTTTCTATTTGTTTTTAATTATTATTATTTAGATAAGTTATGATATGAGTTAGATATGTGATAAACGTGTGAGTTTTATTGATTTGAAATATGATAGTTTGAGATATTTTCAAATTAGATTTGTTTAGATAAACTTTAAAGGTTTTTAAAATTTAAAATTAGATATTGAGAGGCAAAAAAAATATTTTAACTGAATAAATAAAAATCATATTTAATAATTTTATTTGTTTGTATATCTAAATTTATTTATTTATTTATTTATTTTTGGTTATGTTATAATATAGTATATAAGATATAAATAGATACCATAATTTTTATGAAAAATATTATCTGATTTTTTGAGGAAGAGAAAAGGAATGCAAGTTTTAATATTTTCTTTTGAAAATTGATGAGAGAAATTAGAATGGAGAGATTATGATATATTTATCTTTCTATTTGAAATTCATAAATTAAGGGATAATTATTATTTCTAAAATAATTAAATAGGTATGGAAGAAGTTGAAAAGGGAGGATAATTATTATTTTCAAAATAATTAAATATTTATGGGAGAAGTTGAAAATAATGTGTATAGTAGAAGCCAAAAAAAACTTGGGAGAAGTCAATAAGTACTGAGATTTTTTTTTTTAAATCAAAAAATTAAGAAATTAAGATTGAGATATTGGAGCTCCCACAAGACTTGTGAATTAGAAACCTCTAGTGCTACATGCACCAATTAGTGTACTAACTAGTGTACCAACACTAGTTATGATATTATTATTGACCCCACTCATTATAAAAATACAAATATCAAAAATATCTTAAATTATGTCACATAATCAATTGGTACATTAGTTAATGTACAAATTGGTACATATAGTATTATTCTTTCCTTATGTACTATATAGACCAGATATGCACGGGTTTAATAAATTAATTTTAAAATTGAATAACATAAAACAATTTGTTTGAAATATAAAGAAAAAATAATTTAAAATTAAATAAATATTAATTATATTCACAAGGATGAAGGTGAAGTATAAGAATGTGCAAAAAAAAAAAGTCACGCTAACCCAACTTATCTGATCAATCCATACATTTTGAGAAAGTTAGTGGGACAGTTTTGGTTAACGAACTTGATAAACAAATGAGTCGAGCTCTAAGTCAGTAAAGCTCGGCTTAACTCAGCTCGTTTGTAGCTCTCTTCACAGGTGATTTAAATCCGTTATTTTCCTCTCATTTCAGTTTCAAAATTCTTATTTTCCTTACTGTGCATGTGATTTACGGAAACGTAGCGGAAAAAGAAACAAATAATAAAATTGAACTACAAACAAATTCGAATTAGAAATACTCTTTTCAAGGATGAATAATATTGAGAAAATCTCAATTTTTATTAATCAAATATGAACTGTTATAACCTTATTTATAATAAATCTAATTCTTAAAAATAAGAAACTAATAAAATAGAAAATAAAATCAAAACTAATAATATGGAAAAACTACATCATATTAAATCAAGAAACTAAATAACTCAACAATTCTATATTAAATTAGAATATTTCTAATAAAATATTAATTTTAAAATAATAAAATAAAATATTTATTATTTAAAATTCCGTTTGCATCAGTAAGCTCATGTAAAACAAATTGAATGACAACTCAGGACACTTGACCAAAATGTTGAGTCTTTCTTCAAATGTAAAGAAAGAGATTCAAGTGGAGGGAAAAATATAAAGATATCCAAGAGAAACAGAGAAAAGAAACAATCACATGTAATAAAAGGGCCAAAATCAAGTACTTAAAAAAGCAGCAGCAGCAGCATAAGTAATTAAAAAGTGAAATAAAAAATATAAAAAAAGATAAGAACAAATAGGAAAATAGAATGAGAGAAGAATAGATGTGCCACGTAGGAAAGAGGTTCATGAGATGTTAGGATTGAGAGTTTTGTTTTGATGAAGAAATTTGAATTAGAGTCAAACTCATCTTCTATTTTTAAATATTTTGAAAATCTTTTATCTTCAAAAATTTTGAAAATCTTTTATATCCATGCCATAAGTAATTAAAAAGTGAAATAAAAAATATAGAAAAAAGATAAGAAAAAATAGGAAAATAGAATGAGAGAAAAATTGATGTGCCACGTAGGAAAGAGGTTGATGAGATGTTAGGATTGAGAGTTTTGAATTTTTTAAGAGATCACTACATTTGCTTATATATATATAGTATAGATACAATGCTTGTTCAGTCACACGTAAGGTAATACCCATCCTTGCAAGGCGGAATTTCACATCCTTCACCTGAAGCTCGGCAACCTTTATCAATTGCTCATGAGAAAGAGGATCAAATACCACAATCTTATCCAGTCGATTAAGAAACTCGGGCTTGAAGTCTTTCCTCACCTATAATGTGTCAAAACCCAAATTATAGTCTGATTCAAAACACAATTTAGATAATGAAACAAGCAATGTTAAACGATATGCAGCTGTTGAGAGTTACATGGCATTGCTACTTTACCTCTTGCATTACCAATTCCCGAGCACCCTCCATTGTACAACTGCCCATTGATCCTTTCAAGAGATACTCGGCTCCAAGGTTTGAAGTCATAATGATTATTGTGTTGGTGAAATCAATTGTGCAGCCTGCGCCATCTGTCAACCTTCCATCATCCAAAATTTGAAGAAATGTATTTAAAACAGTGGGGTGTGCTTTCTCAACTTCATCAAATAGTATGACACTATATGGCTGCCTCCTCACAGCTTCTGTGAGTTGCCCACCTTCCTCATGCCCATCATTGCTGAAATCATCAATTACAGCAGTGACTAACATTGTTGCAATCTCATATCTCATAAAGAATAAAGACAAGAAGTTTTGAAAAATTTAAAAAACCTCCGAAATATTGATTTGTGATTATAATTCAATTTTAAACAATAAATAGTAATATCAATCAAACAATCAACAATGAATCGGCACAACTGTGAGGAAGGGGTTATAGAATACTCCTTCTACCCAAACAAGCACTTGTAGAATCTTCACAGCTGTCACCTGAAATGGAAATAAAACTACGGCCGGTAGTGCCAGAATTAGCATTCCGACGAACAAATTAACCTCTATAGAAAGATTGGTGTTTCTTTTGGTTTCTTGAGGTTCAAGGTTCTTCACACATACCTGTGTCTTCAAACTCGCTCCTTCTTTTATGGAGTCACTTTCTTCTATCTTTAATCCATGCAGCTTAGCACTTCATCATCATTCTGTCAGGGCCCATCCCCCTACTATACTTCCTTGAAAGGGACAGCCTGGTCCCACTTAATGGGTCCATGCCGATTTGCCCAACACATTCAGCTCTGTTATTCGGCACAAGTATCCACTATTCGGCGCTCCTCGATATTTTATGCTTATTCGGATGTCTATTCAGCAATGACGTAGTTCGATGGGCTTTGGCCTTATTCGACTCATCTTAAACAGGCTTGGATGCTCTATTGGCCGTTTTTCAAGTATATCCTTTTTTCAGCTCCCACAACAACAATTTAACGTAGAAAAAAGACAATTGGACTCCTCCAATTATGATAAAAAGAAATCAGAGACCAAAGTCACAAAACAATCTACTAAGAAGAGAAAGGAATTACACACGAGAACTCTCAATTACTTAGCGAATCCATGCTTGAATTGAACCAAATCCGATGTGCCTCTTCTACCACCGTCTTCACCTCAGAATTGCTTTACCCAATGTTGATTCCACGACGCCGATGTCGAATCTATGACGATGAGCCACTCCAAAATCCACCAAAGTTTCAGACCCAAGTTCTCCAGAATCCTCCGAAGAACACCTCTCTCTTTTTTTGGAATGAAAAAACAAAACCAACCCTTGATGTTTGCCAATATATAGTTTATTGATCAATCGATTACATTTTATACATAAAGGAAACTCATATATAAGCACCTTCTAATATAAAATACTTGGTATTTTACTCCTCTCTCATAATCTGGATGGGTTAAATCCTGAAAATAGCAAACAGTGAACTTTATACTAAATAGAACCGCAAAGACAGCTCAGGTTCATAAAACACGCAAAGATACTAGATGATACACTTCACCGCTCGAGCGCACAAAAGACCGCTCGAGCAGTCAAACAAATTTCCGTACATAATCAGTGAAGTGGCAAACAGAAATGCTTAAGTCAAGATACAGAATGTCAACACAAACTCCTCTGAACTGGTACAATGTAATATCCCAGACTTCACATGTCATCGATATTGTCTGCTTTGGGCCACACTCACACGGATCCAACCTAAACACAACTTAACTGGGGAGTTCTACTAGAGATTTCACCACCTAGGAAAAGGCCTCGATTCTATACAAGGGTCCAGGTTTTTACTTTTATTGCCCAGGAACTCCCCCTTCATTCCTGATGTGAGATACCGGGACCTTACATACAACTCGGGTTAGATTTGCATCTAAACTCTCATAACTAACAAATACAGTGAATAAAAAAACAACTAAATGGAGTTTTGTCTAACGGGATTGCCAATTACAAAAACTTAACAGATTTAATTTAACCTAATGCACTTACCCAGGTGGAACACCAATTAATCGGGCAACCGAGTATGGCTACATATACTCAGTCATGTCAATCCGAATCAATATATTTTCTTTGCCGCCCAGCTGTTCTGCAAGTGCCTTAGCAAGCTTAGTCTTCCCAACACCTGTAGGACCCAAGAAAAGGAATGAACCAGTTGGCTGCTGCCGCCTTCCGAATCCAACCCTTGACCTCAACACAGCTTCGGTAACCGCATTGACTGCTTGATCTTGCCCCACTACTCTTTGATGCAACTTGTCAGCAAGGCCATTCAGCCACTCTTTCTCACTCTGGCCAAGCCTCGTCATAGGTATGTTTGTCAAGCGACTCACTTCTTTTCCAATTTGTTCTGGTCCAATAGTCTCTACCAACATTACATTTTCTTCTATGCTCTCTTCAAGCTTTGCTATTGTTGCCTTGATATCTTTAATCAGATAAGTTTTCAAACCTATAGCATCAACAAAATTACCTCTATTTTCAGCTTCTTGTAATTTAAACAGTAAATACTCTTGCGTCTGTTTCAGTTTGCGACGCTCATTAAACTTTTTCTTCTCCTCTATATACTTTTTCCTTAATGGTTGAAGTTTGACCATCAAATCATGAAGCTCTTTTTTAACCCGAAATAGTGGTTAAATTTCAATTGCAAATGAAAAAAATAATTACCATTAAATAGTAATTGTCATCAAGAAATGTACTCACTTTAACAAGTTCAGCCTCACTAGCTTTGTCTTTCTCCTTCTTGTAGACGCGCCCCGAGGGCTTCATGCTACTACAGTTCGGACTCAAATGTGACGGTTTTGAATCTAATCCCGCAAAGTGTAATGCAAGACCGATAAATCACCAAAGAGTCCAAATCCGACAAATCGTTTTGGAAAACAGATTTTTAAGAAAGAAGTGCCAAACATGGACTGCTTTGCCAGATACAGAGTCGCCACCTAAATATTTTATTTTGAAAAATTTAAGAAACCCTGACTCGTGCCTAAGGTCACGTGTCCGTCATCACTAACGTTGCCTCGGCTCGGGAACTTGGGTACGATTGGGGAAGGTCATCTATGAGCACCCCTGCTCACCCGATCAAAGATCGGCCTGTACTAAGCATGATATTTTGTTTTTGAAAACGCATGTGTTCTTATTCCGGTTAATTAGCTAGAATTACTATATGATGCGCACAACACACAAGTATAGACTAGATCGCCTAAGTTGGAACAAAACATCGCATGTAAGTAGGCTAAGACGTGGATTTGCCACCCTCGAGTGGGCTTAGAAAAATATGATTTTGCCACTCTCAAGTGGGCTTAAAACACACATTTTGATGAATTGTTCCAATTCAAGTAATCTAACCTTCACCCACAGGCATTCAGGCAGTTGTATCACATAAGCAGTTAGCCTAATGGCAAGCATGCTATCATGGTAGTCACTCACACACATGCAAGGATGCTAAAGCATAAACACTTACCGAGTACTCTGTGCTAAAACAAAGAACTAGTTAGTAATCAATGCATGATCCTAGTTCATGTTAAGATGGCTAATGCAACACATGCGAAATGCAATTAGAAATAGGCTCGGCTATCCTACGATGGCATATGAAATGCAACAGTTGATACATGTATTCAAGTCGGAATTGAAATACAATGCAGTTAGTATGATGCGCCGAGCCTGGTGCATGCAAGACAGATGAATGAATGCGAACATCCGAGCATAAGAATGCTAATCAAAACATGATCTAGAACTAACCATCAAAAGCAGGTAAGTAAAAAGGAGAAAGACGTGGGGTTAAAAAACATGCACACACTCACGCACACTTATTACAAAATTCGCCCTCTCGACGGAGGGTCCAAATGAATAATACAGAACCAACTAGCTAATCTAAGCTAATCTAATTAAACTAGCTATTACAAAACAGAATGAATAACAAACTACAGCTAATTATTACACAACTCTAACTAATTAACAAATTAACTAAGTTAGGAATTAAATAAGTATATAAACTATATGATGTAGGCTGCCTCAGCTCTGTTTTGGATGACAAAGGACGCATGCATGCTCGAGTCGCCTTGTTAGGAAATCCCTCACGACGCCTCGACTTGCCTCTATTTGCAGTTGATCTCAGAACACTGCACAAAGCTCCAGAAGGCTGAAACTCCACCAAGGGAACCTTTGGGAAGGCTGCCGACCAGCTGTTGGCTTTGGAGACCACCGGCTAACCAGTTTTTGTGGTGAAAACCAGAAAAAGTGGTCGGCCAGCCACTTTATCTGGTCAGCCGACCAGTTTTTGCTGCTGGTTTCTGGTTTTCTGCAACAGAGGGCAAGACAGGGGGCATGGCAAAGTATTTGCAACACATGTATGCGCGACCAGCCTCCCTATCATTACATAAGCTCAAGGAAGTGTAGGTCTCGACCCTCGCGCCACCAATCACGCATCTCGATGCATGATGGCCGAGGGGCCGAATTGCGCAAGTCAATATAAAATGAATGCACATATGAACCCGTAAAGCCTAAAACTCCGTCATGTATAGTCAAGAGTGTCGGCGACCGGGAATTGAGGCACGTTTCATCACTTCGAGTATGAAACGCCCCTCGTTTCCTGTGTTTGGACTAACACCTATTCCAAACACAAATACAAAGCAAGCATGGCATACATAATGCGACTCAAGCATGCACCTCAATGCATTACAACTTAGACATGCAAACATGCAAGGGACAAATATGCTAGTCATAATACAATGCAACACAAGCATGCAAATAACATGAGCATGCAAACAACAACATGGCATACACAATGCAATGTAACATGGCATACACAATGCTCAATGGACTTAAACCGAATATGGGTAGACCTCAGTCATGCCCAAAACAAAGGCCATAATGATGAAACTAAGGCACAAAAGGGCAAGGCAAGCATGCTCAATGCAATGGCCCATTGGCTAGGCATAAGAGCATAACTCTCAAGAGTGCTCAAGGAGTGACAAATGTGGAAGTGTAACAACACTAAAGGCTCTGAAATCAAGTATGAAATGATGTCAAATCATTCAAACAACGCAAGTAAAGCATGCAAGAGAGCCTAAGGCACAAAGCCATTGAAGGGACTACACAAAGGGGCATGCAATACATGGCACAAATGATTAAACCAACCATGGACAAAGCTCAAATAGGTCTAAACAAAGACCAAAACATGATGAGATGAGAGCTCAAGGACCTAGGCAAGATGGCATACATGCTAGGCCGCAAACAAAGCAACAATGCACAACACTCAAGGGCATTCAAAACATGAACGAAGTGGGAACATGGCAGTGCTAAATGCTCTGAAATGAAGTATTAAATGATGCCAAATCATCTAAACAGCTCAAAGATAGCATGCATGAGTCAACAAAAGACGAAACTAGCAAGGCCAATTGCACTACAGCTATACAAAGCTTGAAGGATATGGCAAAGGCAACCTAAAACAGTCCTAGATCATACCAAAATGATACTAAAACATACATGGAAGAAAGCCAAAACAAGCTAGCATGAAGGGCATAAGGCATGGTGCATACAAGGCAAATAAGGTGGATTACACTACACCTATTAAGACCAAGCATGGGATGATTTAAGCAACAAAAATCAAAGTTATATCATGGAAAAATAACCCCAAATAATCACTGAAATGATGGCTCACAAGCTAAGGCATGAAGGTATAGGCAATGACCCATATTAAGACATAAAGGGGCCAACCCTCCAACGCATTGAATGAATGATAAATGCAAGTGCATGAGCATGAAATATGGACTGAAATCATATAATAAATGATGCCAAATCATTCAAATAGTCCAAGTAAGGCATGCTAGTGGACTTGATACACAAAGCTAACAAGATATAATGCACTATAGTTATACAAAGCATGGCATGCATGACCAAGACAACACAAATCAGACCTTAAACATGGTAATCATGAACAAAATCTTCTTTAAGTTAAGCCTAAAGCATGCTAGAATGATATGTTACAACATGATGTATGTTAGGCTATTTCATGGAATTGCACCACAAGTGCATGAGGCATGCAAGAGGTGACCAAACCAAACCCAACCCTAACAGAGGTATCACATAGAAAAACATCACCAAAAACATGCTAAGATAGACTCAAATCAAGTTAGAATAACATGCTACTTCATGAAACATACAAAGCTAGTTTGAGGGATTTACACTACAAGTGTATAAGGCATGCACGGAGTGACCAAGACAAGTCAAAACAGATCTAAGGCATGCTGAAATAACCCCAAATACATGCTAAGATATGGTCAACACACACTTAACAAAGATGCTCAAATATGAGGCAAATATGACAAGTATTGAAGACAACAAGGAGAGGGGATGACCCTCTCCTTCTTAGGACCTCAAAACACCATCCCCACCACTAAAATCCCTCTGGATTTCAGTGGTGAGAAGGCCAAAACAAGGTGGTCCCAAAGCTCACAAAAGAGGCACAAAAACAAGGCCAAACAAGGCCTAAAAGGGGGTAAACAACCCCAAACTAAAAAGTGACTTTAAACAAATTTTTTAAGCATGCAAAAATAGAACTTTTTCCAGTTACGAGCTAAGCTTAAAATAGTATGCAAATAAGGCTAAAATATTAAGCAAAAATGGGGGATTTAAGGGTTGAAAACTCACCCTTGATGACCCTCTTCAAGGTTACAACTCTAGCAACCTCTTTGAGTTCAAACCAGTCCAAAAACTCTAAAAACAACTCCTAGGTGCCTCAGCAACAAAAGGATGATGTTTGGATAGGAGGTTATGTGCACAAAAGTGTGAAGAATGGTCACTTTAAGGCACAAAACAAGAGAGAAATGGAGGATTATAGATATGGATGATATGTATAGCTCAAGCACAAAATTCTCCAACCTAAGAAGGGAGAGAGGCCTTCCATCTTATAGAAAAACAACTCTCAAGCTTCTTGGACAAGCTAAGAGCTTGTTTAAATCCCTCCATACACGTGTGTGGAGGATACAGTCTGTGCTCTCCAGCTGGCACAGTTGGCATCCATTCAGTCTGACAAAACAAAAAGAAAGCTGCCGACCAGAAAAGGTGGTCGGCCTGCTACTTTAAGTGGTCGGCCGACCACCCAAAGTTGTTTCCCAAGCAAAAAGGTGGTTGGCCATGGGAATTGGTGGTCTCCACACTGAAAGCAAGCCAATGGTAGGGTGGGAAACCAAAAAATGTGGCCCAAAGACCAAGAAAACCAGTTTCCCGACCAGAAAATCAACTGGTGGGGAGAAAAGTGGTCTCCAAGGATAAAAGCTGGTCTCCCATCCTTGTACCACTTCCTAAACATGGAAAGTAAGGTCTATACCCAAGACAAACCAAAACGGATGCAAGACGAGGGTTCGGGAGGCAAGACGCGCGGCCGGGAGCCCCGAAAACCAGCTGTCGAGCATTAAAAGTGTCGTACGACCACGAAAGTAGTCCCCCGGACTACAGTGTCCCTCTAGGGAGAGGAAGCAAGGTGTGGTTCAAGAACCAAGCCAAACAGAGAACGTTAACCGGTCTTGAGCCGAGGCCCACGGCCGACGGCTCTGAAAACCGAAAACTAGTCTCCAAATGGGAACAGTAGCCTACGACCACGAAAAGTAGCCTACAACCACTAAGAGATGGTCTACAAGACCTCTCCCTCCCTCCGGTAAGAGAAAACAAGACTTGGTCCGTAAACCGAGTCAAAGTACAAAAGGTCCCGAGGTCCGGAGGCGAGGCTCTCAGCCAAGAACTCCGAAACCTCGAAACGAGCGCAACATGCGCAATCACCGAGCGCTCAATCGATGACGTCTGAGTCTTAAGGTCGGTCAAAAATGGGTGTCTACACTTCTCAAGAGCATGAAGTTCAGCTTCTAACTGAAGTTTTTTCCTTTCAAGATTATCAATCTCTTCTGGTCGACTATTGAGCTGGACCTTCACATTTGCACATACTTCATCAACTAGGTCAATTGCCTTGTCTCGTAAATGACATCCTAAACAGAGGGGAAAAATGCATATAAATCAGTATCTCTTATTCTAACAATAAAGTTATTATCCTTGAAAATTCACAAACATGAGACCCAGAATAATAAAACAAACGACATAAACATATTGAACTACAAAATAATATCAACGAACCAGTAATATATCGAGCTGATAGTAGGGCAGCAGCCAGAAGAGTTTGATCCTGAATTTTAACATCATGATGTCTTTCGTACCTCTCTTTTAGACCTCAAAGAATACTAATTGTGTTCTCAACACTTGGCACAACCACATAAACCTTTTGGTACCTTTTTGCAAAAGCAGCATTTTTCTCCACATATTTTCTATACTCTACAAAAGTTGTCGCCCCAATGCATCTAAATTGGCCCCTAGCAAGCATTGGCTTGAAAATGTTGGCAGCATCCATGGACCCTCCTTCAATTTGACTAGCACCAAGAACAAGGTGTATTTTATCAATGAAGAGTATAACTTTTCCTTCAGCTTCTTCTGCTTCCTTTAGAATTGCTTTCAACCTATTCTCAAATTCTCCCCTATACTTCGTTCCGGCCACCAAAGCCCCCATATCTAATGCAAAAAGCCTCACATCATCAAAATATTTAGGAACATCCCGTTTAACAATTCTTTGGGCTAAGCCTTCTACCACTGCTGTTTTTCCAACACCAGGGCTCTCCAATAATAATGACATTGCTCTTGTTTTTTCTTGATAGAATACTAATAACCATATTAATCTCTTTATTCATTCCAATGACAGGGTCAAGCTTTCGAGCTTGCTCTATGAAGTCACAACCATAAGTCTTCAGAGTTTGAAATGTGTTATCTCCAGAAGGATCTCACACATTTTTCCCCTCCTTACCATAAAGCTTCTTGACCTCTAATTTCACCCTTGAGGTACTGATCCCACTTCTATCAAAAAGACCTTCAATTTCTGAATCTTCCAAAAGACCGAGGATCAACTGATGAATAGCTAAATGACTCTAACCATGGGACTTCGAGGATTCAGCCATGTTAATCACCCTAAATAGACTGTAACTTTCTGGGACATTGTTTTCACGAGTGTTATTTTTCAAAAAAACCCATCTTTTTGGGTTGCTTCTCATTTTTAGGGATTCTGCGGGGAAGCATATTCATTGCTTGATTGAGGACATTCCTAACTGAGTTTTCAGCTTCTTCAACCTGACTGGCATTGACAATTGCTTGCCTCAAGTTATTACAATCGGAGAACAATGCCACTACCAAATGAAGAGGCGTAGACTCTTCGTGGCCGGCATTCATAGCCAGTTCCTTAGCCCTATCAACAAACTTCCTTGTACTTCTGTCCAACTTGCCAAGTCCATTGTTGATATTTAAACCTGCAGCAGAAAGAAAGAAATGTATAATAAAAATACACATCTATGTGGTCATTCTAGTGTTGGTTGATTTGCTGAATCAGAGTTGAGAGGGTAATTTGTAAACAAATTGGGCCGAGCTGGGAAGAGTCTTCTTTGGGAGCTGGGTCGCGTAATGGGCTGAGATAAGGGCCGGAGTATGGACGATGGTAGCTCGGTCTCTTTTTATCCGAGTACCAAACTGGGCAAGGGCATTGACCGAGCTACTTAAATACTAGGCCCAAAGGTTGGCCGAGGTGTTTGCTAAGACAGATGGCCGAGCTAGGTATAACTTGGTCGATGCTTCTATTCCATTACTTAGTTGAGCACAGAGCTGAGGTAAAGATGGCAACCGAAGTAAAGCAAGTTCTGTAGCAAACCGAGGTAACATCAATGGCAAGGGCCGAGCTGTGTATAGCTCGTAGGGTGGCATTCGATAGATCGGCTTTCGATCACACGGTCCAAATCGCAGGGACCAAGATAAGGCAGTTCGGTCAGAAATGTATAACCGAGGTAAAGGGTTCAGCCATCTCACTTGGCTTGCAGTGATGAGACTCGTAGTAGGACTCTGCTAAGGAGAGTTAGAGTCCTACTGGGATTGTGCAAACCATCTCACTTGGTTGGTAGTAAGTAGGAGTATGACTCCTAGGAGGACTCTGCTAAGAAGAGTAGAGCCCTACTAGGATTGTGCAAAACCATCTCACTTGGTTGGTAGTGAGTAGAATGTGTGATTCCTAGGAGGACTCTCACAGAGAGAGTTGGAATCCTACTACGATTGTGCCAAAGTAAAGTCTATAAAAGCTCATGACCAGACCTATGGACAGGTATCCCCAATTCTTACTCTAGAATACACAGAGCTTATTGTCTATTGTCTAGTTGCTGACTTAGGAATTGGAGGGGTTTCCGGCACACACTCGCCGGCTAGCTCACAATTGTGTTTTCAGGAAGTAAAGCGATGACGTTTGGAGAAGCGCAAACTTGATCAACAGGATCATACAAGAAGAATTATTCCGTGCTCGTACAATTGGCGTCGCCTATGGGAATTTCATAAAGAGCAAAACCTCTTGATCAAGTTTTCCTCTCTAGTTGAAAGCAATGGCGCACAATGAAGACTTGCCGCAATCTGCTATTGATGGGCAAACACCGGAAGGGGGTAGAAGGCGCGAAGGTTTACCTTCTATCCCACCCATGGCAAAATTAGATCCCCAGCGAAGGAATCCACGGAGAGAAGCAAGAGAAAGACAGGGCTCAAGTCCACACTGCTCTCAAAGCCCTGATAGACAGAGGCAGAAAATAGATCCTCAGGTTCTCGAAGATTGCATAAGGGAGCAAGACGAAGTAATAAGAAGAATGACGGCTGACATAGAGACGATGAAGCACCAGATAAAAGGCAACACACACTCTTGCCACTCAGAAGATCGTGACAGATAAGTCACACTATCACAAACTGAAAGTAGAAGCCTCAAGTCGAGTGATACACAATCAAAGACTTCCAGGACACGCTACTCTAGGCCTGAGAGAATGAAGACTGAAAGGGCTTGAATGAGAAAAGACACTCAGGCTCGCGACCCCCGTAGAGTCTCCGCACTACAACGATTGGTTCCTAGAACACATGGGAGTGTCGAAGTTGGAATTCCAGAGCCACGCCTTGCCTATGAACCAGCAGACAAGGCGTTAGCAAGGTCGCAAAGCTCACCGTTCGTTCTAACAATAGAGAATGCACCATTACCCTCAGCCTTGGTAACTTGGGTTTAACGTAGTCTGAGAGGTTGCCAGAAGGTAGCATAGCTTCGTGGGCGCAACTAGCGAAGGCATTTGTGACCAGATTCAGAACAAACACCAAGGCGGAGTTCGGCACAAACAGCGATGTCGAGCAGAACACCTTCGACAAAAGTTAGCACAGTTGACAAGAAAGACTAACCAAGTAAAAAATCTTTGCCCAACTAGGGGCAAAGTGGGTTGGCAGAATTGACTAACTCTTTCTAAATAAAATCAGAGTTGGCCGGAATAACCAACTTTGAGCTCTCTTCAGCTAGGATTAGGATCTGGGCTGAAGAGGTTGGCTGGAAAAACCAACACTTCGCCTAAGCCGAGATAAGGATCTAGGCTGCAGGAAGTTGGCAGGTTTGACCAACAAGTCTTTGTCCTACTAGGGGGTAATCAAGAAGTTTGGCAGGAATGGCCAAGAATTTAGCTCTTCTTCAAGCCGAGATAAAGATCCGCGTTGAAGAAGGTTGGCAGGAATAACCATCATTTTGCTCTCCTAAGCCAAGATGAGGATCTAGGCAGCAGGAAGTTGACAGGTTTGACCAACAAATTTTTGAACTCTTTGGCCGGGATGATGGTTACCTCGGCCAAAGCAGGTTGGCAGATTTGACCAACAAATTTTTGAACTCTTTGGCCGAGATGATGGTTACCTCGGCCAAAGCAGGTTGGCAGGTATGACCAACAAAATTTTGGAAACTCTTTGGTCGGGATGATGGTTACCTCGGCCAAAGCAGGTTGGCAGGTTTGACCAACAAACTTTTGAACTCTTTGGCCGGGATGATGGTTACCTCGGCCAAAGCAGGTTGGCAGGTTTGACCAACAAATTTTCTCTTGGACCGAGATGGTTATCTCGGCCAAAACAGGTTGGCAGGTTTGACCAACAAATTTTTTCCTTGACCGAGATGGTTATCTCGGCCAAAGCAAGTTGGCAGGGTTAGTATAAACCGAGTTAATCTGCTCGGCGAGACACAGAAAGAACGGCTCGCCATACGATTGCAAACTCGAAGGATATATACGTTGAAGGCAAAAAAGCAAGGCTATTCAAATTTTCGTCATGACGGTGGTAACAAGAGAACGAGGATTTTGGGCACACGCCATGTATCCTGGGAATGACATCGTACCAGACTAGTGGAAAGACATGTTGAGCAACTGACAAGGCTTATTGGGGGCCAAAAAACTTTTTAGCTCGGTAGAGTGGGGGCGTTCTTAGCTCGGCTGGAGGAAAAATAATCCCAATCATGCTACGCAGATGGAATTAAGGGACAATTGAGAGGGTAATTTGTAAACAAATTGGGCCGAGATAGAAAGAGTCTTCTTTGGGAGCTGGGCCGCATAATGGGCCGAGATAAGGGCTGGAGTATGGACGACGGGTAGCTCGGTCCCTTTTTATCTGAGTACCAAATTGGGCAAGGGCGTTAACCGAGCTACTTAACTACTAGGCCCAAAGGTTGGCCGAGGTGTTTGGTAAGACAGATGGCCGAGCAAGGTATAGCTCGATCGATGCTTCTATTCCATTACTTAGTTGAGCATAGAGTCGAGGTAAAGATGACAGCCGAAGTAAAGAAAGTTCTGTAGCAAACCGAGGTAACATCAATGGCGAGGGCCGAGCTGTGTATAGCTCGGCAGGGTGGCATTCGATAGATCGGCTTTCCGTGGCCGGCATTCATAGCCAGTTCCTTAGCCTTATCAACAAACTTCCTTGTATTTCTGTCCAACTTTCCAAGTCCATTGTTGATATTTAAACCTGCAACAGAAAGAAAGAAATGTATAGTAAAAATACACATCTATGTGGTCATTCTAGAGTTTTAGTTTTATTTGTTTGTTGATTTGCTGAATCTGAGTGTAGAACCGACTCCTCTTGCTTCTATGAATTTTATGCACTATTGAAATATAAGTTTTTGATGTGTATTTTTAGGATAAATTACACTTTGCCCTCTTTATATTTGGCCATTTTCTCACTTTGACTCTTAAATATATGTTTTTCTACTTTGGCGGTTTATGTTTCAAGATTTTCTCAATTTACTCTTAAAGCTTGCTTTTGTTAAAAATTAGACGTAAAATAACACATTGACAATTATGTGACATAAAAATATTTTATTATATATAACTCACATCTGTAATACAAACTTAAACCCCATTATAATCATATATTTTTATGTTATGTGATAATTATTGTGACATTTTCTGTCTAATTTTGAACAAAAGTTAGCTTTAGAGTCATTTTAAAAAAAATAAATAAATTTTAAGAGACAAAGTGAGGAAGTGGCCTAACATAACAGGGTGAAAGTGTAATTTATCCTATATTTTTATTACACCCCTAATTCCCCTTATAAAAACTAGGGTGGCTATCAGCCTATGGGTCCGCCCAGTCCAATCTTATTATTTTAGAATTTAGGAATGTTGTTTTAGTCCATAGGGCTAGACTAGACAAACATTTTTAACCTGATATATTAATGAGCTGAACTTGGAATTTATACTTTAAACCAGGTCCAATCTGCTATAAAATTAATTAATTAATTATAATATATTAAAATATATATTTTTTGTTGAAATCTAAACTTAATCTTTATTGATTTTGTTAAAACTCACATTTGTGGTGATATGCAATTGCATTTATTTAAGTAATCCTTCAATTTATATATAAATTTTTCAATTTATAATGATATTAGTATATTTATTTAATAAATATAATGTGATTGAATTTAATTATGGAATATTTTTAAAATAATTAACATATAGTCCGATGGGTTGTATTGGGATTTATAATTATTTTTTGAGCCGAGCTTGGACAAATGTAAAGGCCCAATGTTAAGGCCAAGCTGGGTTTGAACAGACACAAAATCTCTTATGATGTAATGTTAGACTGATTCGATGAATGCCCACCCCTAATAAAAACACATCTATGTAGTTTAGAAGCACCATAGTATTTTTATTTATTTTTTAGCTAAGTAATTACGAATTCATTAAGATGAATTTTATGAAATTTAAAGTTGTTCAATGTTTGAACTCAGCCAATTTGATATTGGTGAGTATCCAAAAATAAGAAAATGGACTTCATGTTCTATTTTTTTTTCTTTTTTCTTTTTTTGAGAAATTTGGCTATAAACTCCCTTTACCTTCCTTTCATTGTTAAAAAGATTAAGAAAAAAATTATACTTTCTAAACCTCCTCATAATTATAAAGTCTTGCATAAATAACAAAATTTATTATTTAAATAT